TGCTACAACCGTATGTCCCACCACGTTCCCTGAGGTCAGCGGACCAGTTGCTCCTCACAGTTCCAGGAACTCATCTTAAGCGCAGAGGTGACAGGGCCTTCTCTGTAGCAGGACCAAGACTCTGGAACGAGTTACCTCTGTTTGTCAGACAGGCCCCCGTTTAAAAACTCACTACTATTCAGTAGCTTTCAACACAAGATGATCTGTGTTTTGATCCTGTACGCTCCACACTGGTTTGTCGTCATTATCTGCATCGTTTTTTGTCTATATTCTGATTTACCTCATTTTGTATTTAGCTTTGTGTGTTACCTGTTGTTTTGTCTGTACAGCACTTTGGTTGGCCTTGTTGCTGTTTTAAGTGCTTTATAAATAAAGTGGTATGGTATGGTATGTGATGGAAACGACAATAAAGTTGACTTGACCTTAAACTTGATTATTTCAAAACTTTATTTAACTACATGCTTCAAATAAACATGCTTCAATGTAATAAAAAAACAAAACAAGGATGTCTCACCTGAAAAGCTTTGCTGAGCATATGTTCCCCTTCCTTACTACCAAGCAGGTTGATAATTACCTGCTTTCCATACAACTGCCTCAAGGCTGAAAAGTGTCTGGAAAAAAGATTCAGTCAGATAAGAAGCTCTGCAGAGATGTAAAATTATAAACATCAGCTATGAATATTCTTGTAAATGCTAATAATAATAATAATAATAATAATAATAATGAGGAGTTCCCCTACTGACCTAACTAACATTCCTAAAAACGTATAAGTAAAAATGTGGCATTAAATGACAAAGAGAGAAGCCGGTTTGCTGTAGAACTGGTCTGTTAAAATTAAAAAGAAAGAACAGTCAAGGAAGTGTCAAATAAGTGACAAACACTTGGTGATTGAAACTGTTTAGGTGTAATAAATACTGACTCATCATTTCTGATCAGAACTGAAGTTTCAAAGGCTAGAAGTGCCACGGACAGTTAGGTGGGGGAACGATGAGCACTTGTTTTAATAAAAAGATTATGTTAAATCATTTGTTTCCAAATAAATGCATCACTTGGTAGCAAAAAACTAATATTTGGGTGCATGCAGTAGAGTCAAAGATTAATGAAAGTCAAAGAATCTTGAGGTGTCTTGAGAGCTTTCTAGTAAAACGTCACCTTGAAGTGAGTGAGCACTTTAAAACAGTCTGGCAGAAGGTGGCTGCTGTGAGTTGATAAGGGTGAAACCAGTACTATTTGGGTGTGACATGGTTTACACCTCTGACACAAAGAATGAGGTAGAAGCGAATAAGAACTAAGAATACTCTTGACTATGCAAAAGGTCAAGAGGAAAGAAGTGACGGCAAAGAATATAAAACTACAGCTCAAACAGACAACAGTAAATCATGGACAATTCAAGTTTTATTAGCAATAAACTAGCTTCAGAGGACACACGTCAATTATCATCGTCTCCTTCACAAGCATGGAGAGTTCTTTTCACCAGTGTTTGGACACAAAGGACACTAGATGCAGTGTTGCACAGACTATTCATTTGTTAGAAGTCAAATACTGCTGTCGAAAACTGAAAACAAACGTGCTCACCCGAGCTACGTGAAACAACTTAATTACCTCTCAAAAGCTGGCGCATTTGCCTCAAATCCCCTTGAGAGCTTAACACGATGAGAACCCACCTGCAGAGAAACGCATCACAGAACCTTTCTTTGTAAAGATTAAAAACAAAAAGCACAAACGTGAAGATGCCTCAGAAAATTGCATGATTAAAAAAATGTAGAAAAGAAACTGTAGGCAACATTAAGCTTGGATAGATCTTAAAAAAAAGAGGATGTGTAGGACAATAACAACACTGCGGCAGTGTGAGAAAACGTGCTCAAACATGAAGACACTGAGCAGCAGACATTTCATCTCTCAAACACCTTTCTCCTCAAATTTTAGCTTGCTCTTCTATCACAAATTTTAAAATAGACAGAGCCAGAGAAATACAAACACACACGATTACACCCACTCAGGCTTCACAGAAAACTGTAACAACTAGCACTTCTGCTGTTCACTGGAAAACTGTTCATTCTGCTTGGCAGGTTCACGATTGTCTCTTTTCTGTTCCCTTTGAATTATGTAGCGTGAACAAACATTTCCTACTTTGACCTTACTTCCTGTTCTCTCTTACAATCCATGTTAGCTTTTCATCAGATATATGGAAAACATTTCAATTTTAAATCCTTCTTAGTTCTTCTTACTAGTCACCCATTTTATGAACAAACACATATTTCTGGTAAAAATAAAGCATTTCAATATGTTACGTCTATGATTTCTCTCAGGAAGTGACATAAATTGAATACTTTTTAGATTTTCTTTATGCCATTTAAGCTCCTTCAACAAATCTCTGTTTCATGTTCCAACTTTTTTACTCAGTCGTGTTCACCAGCTTAGTTTGCTTGCACACAAATTTAGCCAGACCTGTGTGTGACTGACTGAAGCTTCACTGCTGTCGTGTGCGACTCCTTTTGTCTGCTCTTCTGTCATGCTGGTCAAGTCTATGCAAATTTAATACTTCCTGAGATGATACTCAGGTTGCTGTGGTACAGCTCAGACTAAATGTTTGCACACAGCTTTTCACCAGTTCCACATGGACTTAATTTCATTTGCAAAATTACAATAAACTTTAATGCAATACCTCCCCAAAACAGAGAAATTCCATTTACAGCAAAATACAGTGTGAATGCTGAATGACTTTTTTTTTTTTAATCATTTGTTGAAGAACAAAGTAATTTGTATTGTTGGTTATAACAAGAAAATCTAAAGTTAAAACTAAGAAAATGTTTGCAGCAAGTTAAAATTGGCAAAACAGTAGCTAAAAGCTCAAACTGTCAAAACCATATCCAAAAGCTCAAATTACCAAAGCCGCAGCTAAAAGCTAAAATTACCTCAACTATAGCCAAAAGCCAAAATTGCCATAACAGTAGCTAAAACGAGCATAAGAGAACAAAAAGATAGCAAGTATGCTGAAGTAGATTTCAGAGGACGACATTTTTTTTAAAGAATTGGAAAACATCATTTCTATAGTTTTTACTTTTTGTAAATATAAAGTAAATAATTCAAAAAGTTTAAATGTTAGAAATACCAAAAGTCATAGCTCATTATTCAAGATTGAGTCCAGTGTTTTGATATATTAGCAGTTAAAATAGCACAAAACGAGTGGAAGTAGTTTAACAGCAAAATAACGAACAGAATAAACTAAAAACCGGTGCAGTTGGTAAAGCCGTCACCTCTCAGAGTAGGTTGCTGGATCAAATCCCTGCCTGGGGTCTTTCTGGGAGGAGTCTGCATGTTCTCTCAGTATATGCACGAGTTTTCTCCAGGTATTCCGGTTTCCTCCCACAGACCAAAAATACAAATGTTACGCTAACTGGTAACTCTAAATTGTCTCTCGGTGGGAGTGAAAGGTCATTTCTGTCTCTGTGGTCCTGTGATTTCCTGTCCAGGATGTGCACCACCTCTTGCAGTGACTGCTGGACATGAGCACCAACAATCCCCATGACCCGGAAAGGAAGAAGCAAGTAAAGATAATGGGTGGATAGCACTCATTTAATAATATCTCACTAATAACTAGGTTATTGTCTCATTTTTAATAAATAAACTTGTCATAAAAACATTTGAAAGATGTTGTCTCCAACTTTGAGCACCGGTAGTTACTATTCAACTGAGAGTGAAGCCACACCACTGAATTACATTTTTCTGTTGCACTGCATTTATGATCCAGATGCTAATTTACATTTACACCTTCTGCTCAGAGAAAGTATTTGAGTATGGAGAGGAGCGCCAACAAGCTACAACTGGTAGAGGGGGCAAAGCGCTAAAGAGGTGCTTTAAAGCAGGAGGACAATACTTGTGTCTGAAAACAACCCCCAAGCTCACCACCTTGTGTTTTGTCCAAACCAAAGACCTCGTGGACAGAACAGGTGACTAACAAGGCTTCCTTTAGGTCTCGTGCAACTAGAATAGCAAGGCCTTTGCTATTATTCTTGGACAAATGCTTTGGGAACATTAACAAAATAAAATCAAGTGAAGTGGTTAGGGGATGTTTTCTGATCAGGCTCTCACCTGACCCAAGATGTCTGGTAGCTGAGAAAAACAGAGAAAAGCCCTTTACCAACCACTGTTATAATCATTAACCTCCCCCATCTTTTCTCTAATTTACCAGTCTGTGCAATGTCAAAACAAGAGCAGGATATTCCAATGTGTTGTTTGCTTTGAGCATTGATCAATTATACCATGTACTACAAAACATATCTACAAATATTTTGATTTATTTATTTTTTCTTCCGGACAGTGTGTTGAACCAGGATGATGACACATTAGAAGAGTTCATTTATTTTACACCCTGGACCGTTGGCATTGCACAGAGGCGTAACGTTCTGGCAAATGAAAGCCCCAGCAACAGTGAAGCCCCCTCCAACCCTCACCCAGCACCCCCTCAAACAAACAACAAAAAATAAACCAGGAGGAAAAAGGGTTATACCAGGTGAGGGTTCTCATCCAGTCCATTAGGGTGCCGATTCTCATTAAAGTGCAACAACACACCCTTGATAGACTTTTTCTGAACACAGCAACAAAATGTGTTAAAACTGTGGTAAAGAAATTTACACTGTCCTGACAAAAACAAATTGCTTCGAGCTAAGAGTTTTGTTTGTCTAGTGTTTACAGGTAAGTCGATTCATCACATAGAGCGCCACCTATAGTGGCATTATCACATAACATGGTCAGGACCTTCAAGCTAAACATCATCAGTGTTTTCTAATTTTTACAACGTGGCAAAACATAAGAAAAACTAACATTCAAATGTGCTGTAATGATGGTTTCAGTACCTGGATTCCTGGCTGTTCCCAGAAAAGTGGAATGGAGCCCCGAATCTGGATGAAGGATGAGACTTTGTCTTCCAGGAAAATAACCTGTTCAAACAAAAAACAAAATATTCTTAAGTAAATTTGTAACGTGCCAAAACAAAGATGAATTTGTAAAAACCCACAAAATAAAACAAATAAATTAACAAATACTAATTCACCTAATCAGGTGCAACTTTTGGCAATTTTTTAAAAACATTCCTAATGCTCATCAAGATAACTAGACTAAAGTTGGCAGCAAATTCTGCCTGTGTTTGACGCTTGGTCACAAACAGAATGAGATGTAAAGAAAAGATTGTTGTGAAAAATGTCAGAAGTAGACAGATTACATTTTTCTGGCCAAATGAACAAGCGTGTTTGACACTGAACTACTATCCAACACATAAAACGGTTCAAGTCTGGATTCACCTGTTCAGTCTCCACAAAGTTGGCCACCTGCCCATCATCATTTGTTCCTCGAACGTTGAACCGCGTGCCGGCTCGCTCCGAGCTGAGGCGAGAGAAGATACAGGCCTTGGCCTGTTTGTGGCCAGCGTAGATAGTCCGGATCTCCACGCCGCCACACATCAGCCTCAGCAGCCAGTCGTCGCAGTTTACTCCATAATGTTTAAGGTGCAAGTGCAGAGACTGATTCCTGTCCATTCACAAAAAGAGCAGCAAATGACATTTTCCTGCAGATTATATAAATAAAATTTACTGTTACACAAAGGATTTGTTCACTCCTGGTTATGTTTTCCCATAACCCTAAAAGCAATGGGATTTGCATGTCCCTACCAAAAGAAGCGATTGTCTGTAGTGTCTTCTAAGATCCTGCGATGTGCGTTCAGACTCAGGTCCATGCTGACTCCAGTGGCAGACCAGGCAAAGTAGAAGTGTCCTGAGTTTAGGACCTTGCGCACCTCAGCAATCCGGTCCTCGTCTCCTGCATCATTCTTCAGCGATATGAAGTCCGTCTGTGTGACCCTGAACACCTCTGAATCCTGCACCTTGCCCACAGAGCTGCATCCTGTTACGACCACGAGACTGTGGAGCATCGAGTCACCTGGAAAACAACATGGAAGTTGAACATTCAGCCAGTATGCTATGGCAGTTAAACAAAAAGACATAGAATGTTAAGGTTTAAAAGACAGGACAAGCAATAGTAAAGAGAACCTGTCTAATCTCAAACATCTACGAGTTGTAAGCTTTAAGGCTGATGGTTTCATGTTGTGATAACAGGAGCTTACAAGGTTGTATGAAGGACAGGAAACTGCAACTGGTGACAGAAGTAAAAGCAAACTAGAGGGGCTTCGTAGTTACACTTAAACCCAGGGTTAAAATCCAAACTAGATCCAAACAAAAAGCAGTTTACAAAATAACTTGTTCATTTTATTTTGCATTTTCTTACCCAGGTTTAGGCGTAGAACTCCAAGGATCCCATAGGCATCAAAAATTTTACTGTAGGTATTTTTAATGGCCTCCTTTTCCGCTGCCGCTAAAAGACAAACAAAAGTGAAAACGTAAGAAAATCACGGTTAAAGCAACTGTGAAATGCCATATGTCCGCAACCACAAGCTCGACTAGATCGATAAGAATAGAGTTCTTATGGCTGCACTTGTGTTGAATTGTTTGACTAGTGTTAAAAAACAATGCAATTCAGAAAAGATGCCTTACACAGAACAGCAACAGCACCAGATTCAAACATGAGGCATTCCTCCCTGGTCCTTGTTTCCACTATTACACTGTACGGTGGTGGGTCCAGCTTGTGGTAAATGCGGTACCCTTTGCTGAAGGCCATGGCTGATCCAAGATGAGCAAAACCTAGAAAAGCAAAAAGTAGTGGAACAAATGAGGAACCTAAAACAAGAAGTGCTAATCACAACACCACCATTTGGATGCTGTCTATCACGATGCATTAAGATTCATAACTGGCTGTAACTACCGTACCCACCACTGCACCCCGTATTCACTGGTTAACTGGTCATCATTAACTTCACGCAGACTCTCTCACTGGTACATTTTCATCTTTAAATCACTTCTTTGTCTGTTGCCTTCATACATCTCCTCCTACATGTCACTGCGTGAGTGCAGCTACAGCGTGCGCTCTCAGGACTTTATTACACGCAGTGTTCTCAGTGTGGACTGAACCAGGCAAAAAGGTCTTCTCCTACTCCGCTGTTTCCTGGAACACCTTGCAAAAATATTGGTTCCTGGCAAAAACCAATGCAGACATGTTCCTGTTCTTAGTACTCTACATTGCTTTACAACCAAGCTGTTTTTGTTTCGTTGTTTAAATACCATCTTCTTTCATTTGTTCTTAGTTTGCATCCTTTCTTTTATGACTGTCTACTGTTGTCATCACTCTTTGTTAAAAACAGGTCTCTCTTGTAAATGAGACTCAATGGGATTAACCTGTATAAATAAAGGTAGAAAGGTTGATAGAGCTGTGAAGCTAAGACGTTGTAATACAATTAAGGAGGTATTTTCCTTGAAAATGCAGAGGAGGGAAAACTTGGCGACGTTCACCCAGCGGGCAGGCGATCAATCAATGACACTGGCCCACAAAGATGATGAACTAATATTTATTTAAACTCCCATGTAAGTGGAGCCTCCGAGTAGCAGGTTGGATGTGACTGGGTGAGCTAACAGTTAAAGGCCGGTGAAGTGACGTCCCGTCCACCCCTCTGACTCCTAACAGTCACGATTAAAAAAAAAAACGGGTACGGAAAGCGAAGCAAACGCTAAACCCGCCAGCTAGCTCGAAAATGCTGCACTTGTTTGGGCGGTGGAAGACGGTGAAGTCCAACGAATGCAACAACATTTAGGAGAAAGAAGAAAACTTACCGTCTCTCACGCATTTGCCGTTAGCTCATAACATTAGCCCAGGTATAGCGAGATTAAATGGGCTACGCTAGCTTCCAGTAATTTGACGTTACCTGAACGTCCCCCCTCGGTGATTAAATGTCGTTAACTAACGCATTCAAGCGACGCGGCTATATAAAACCAACAAGTTTATATGGAAACGTCTGGTTATGGGGGATTTATGTTGTAAATATAACAGACAGAGGGATAAGGACAATGTATTCCATCTTACCGTCTCCGCGCCGGGTTGGTACTCCGCTGTCACAACAAAAAAAATCCTTCCCAGTGTTAGCAAAAATGGTACGTTCCGATTCCGGCGCTTCGTACGCTTACGTTCGTCGGCAGGCCGTTGTAACACATAATCAAAATGCTCGATCTCATTTACAAATCATGACATTGTTGTATGCGAAAATAATATAAGATTCAGGATGAAAATATTATATCTTATGATAAACTTTCTAGAACGTTTTTATTATCATTTTGTTATTTTTATGTTATTTTTCACAATAGATAATGTTAGGAAATAAAAGTCCAGTTGGAATGGCTTATTTTCAATGTGTTGTAAATATCCAGTATTTAAATGGTTATAGTCTGAATTAACACTTCTAATGTCCAGAATAGCTCTCTTCTTATCCACAATTTACATTTCCACATAACTCACATACCATTCTTGTTTCTTTCTTTCCCACATTATTTTTTATGAACAGTTTCAGTGATAAACAACATGTCAATGATGTACCACATATATTTTCTAGAATATGATAGCCTATCCAGGCCTTCCCTTACAGTAACAATTCAGAAAACATAGAAAGGGGAGGAACATTAAAGAAAATAGGGGAAAAAATATTTCAGTTTCAGGTGTCTATAGCGCTGATAAATTCCTCTGTTAATGATGCTGAATTTTCTCATGTCTCTTCTTGGGTGTCGTACTGTGTCCTTTTGTTGTACTTATTCATAAAAATGTCTTCTTTTCGTCTAAGTAAGACAGTCATTTGTTTCATCTCATAAATATCCCTAACAATAGTCAGCCATTGTTGTATGGAGGGAGCAGATGTCTAGCTGGTACTAGATCCTTGATATAGCTGTACCTTAATCAAGAGCATGTATTCATTCAAAACACTTTTTTTTTTAAATGTTTCCAAGATACATTGTCTTAAAGTATTTTGATATTAGGTATCCCAAAATAGTTCCAATCATCTTGCCATCTTTAATTATAGTACAGATTGCAGTTATTCCTCTGTTCTCCCAATTTTTAAACCCCTGTTCTTGTTTGGTGTAAAACTGCCATCATGCATATCCCAATCTCCTTTCCCAGTCTGTGTTGCTTTATTCTTTTAAACCAGATGTCCAAAGTATGAAAAGTTATTGAATCAAGTCGGTGATGTTGTTTTCCTGAATTTATCATCCCCAAATAATGCTTGGAGTGGCACATTGCCCACTAATATTTCAATGTCTTTCCACTCAGCACAGTAGTTTTGGTCACATCATTTAATTACAGGTCGTAGTTGTGTTGCACATGAGTCCTTTAGGTGAGGGAGTGCTCATTCTTGATGGGACAAAGATGTCAGTTTTCTTGTTTATGTGTGGGCTTTCAGCTCTACATATCCACTTGATTCTTCTTATCGTATAGATTGTAGACATCAGAAAATAACTGTTACTCAAAGAAACACTTAATTCATAAATCTGTGTAAATCTGGACCATAATTTACATTTCTCTTGTTTCATGTTAAAATGGCATCCCATAAAGTTCTTAACAAATACTGAAATTATTCTTTAGAGTATGTGTAAATACACAAGCTGTTTTATTTGCATTATTCCAAATATTGATATCTGAAAGTTTTTTGTAAATTAGCTGTGATATGGAAAATAGATGTCCTTAAAATAAGTTTTAGTAGTTATTCTATTTCAGGATCTTTTTTATTCAAGAGTTTGAGATTTTTTTTTTTCATTTATTACTTTGCATATTTGAAATTAAACTTTTGAGACTAGTCACAATTAGGCTGTTGATGTCTGAAATGTGAGTTTCTTCTTTCGGAGTGCCATTTAAGATGTGCCTTATGTTGAATTAGGATAGTAAGAATGAATGTAACTGGAAGCATCTGGAGATAAAAACCTAATATGACAAAATGACATAACTTGTTGTATGAAGAATGATTTTTGGAGGTATCTCAAGGATTCAAGGTTCTTTATTTGTCGTACACACTGCATGTGGTACATGTGGTGGAACGAAACTGTGTACACAGGGTCCCAGTTACATCCAATAAAAGTATTGAAATGTAAAAGAAAAGCAGTAATAAGATCCAAGATATGAACTAAGAAAAACGTTAACTAAAAACACACTAAGCGCTAGTAGCACAAAAAACAATACGCCGAACAGCAGCACGAACATGAGTCTGTGTGAGCAGATGAGCAGGCATGAACACATCAACATGAAACAGATCAGCAGCAACATGATGTGGTTTTTCACAGTGATTGTTCTGGTTAGAGATTCATGAGTCTAACAACCTCAGGGTAGAAGCTGTTCCTCAGTCTAGTGGTTCTACACTTAATGCTCCTTAACCTCCTTCCTGAAGGGAGTGGGTGTGTGTGCTGGGTGAGCGTGGTCCTTCATGATGCAGGTGGCCCTCTCCCTGCATCTGTAGGTGTAGATGTCTATGATGGTGGGGAGGCTGACTCCAACAGACAGTGCAGCCTTCACCACTCTCTGCAAAGCTTTTCTTTCTGCAGCTGTGCAGCCTACATGCCACCCGGTGATGCTGGAGCACAGGATGCTCTCCACTGCACACCTGTAGAAGGAGGTGAGGACTGAGCTTCCCAGACCAGCTCATCTCAGCCACCTGAGGAAGTAGAGTCTCTAATGAGCTTTCTTGATCAGGCTGGTAGTGTTATTGCCCCAGCTGAGGTTGTCATTCACATGTACACCCAAGTACTTGTAGCTGGAGACCACTTCCACCGCAGATCCTCCTATGTTCAAGGGGGAAGGGGGAGGTGTGTTTGTTCCGTCTGAAGTCCATGACCATTTCCTTCATCTTCTTCACATTGATGTGAAGGTTGCTCTTCTTGCACCAGCTTTCCAGGTTTTCCGCATCCTGCCTGTAGCTGGACTCATCGTTGTTTGTGATGCACCCCACAAACGCTGTATCATCTGCAAACTTTACAATATGACAGCCTGGATTCAGGTGCAGTCATACATGAGCAGCGTGAACAGGATGGGGCTCAGCATACAGCCCTGAGGGGAGAGCTGAACTACTGATTGAAAATGAGACAAACTCTCTGGGTTGGAAACATGCTGATTTTGACTACAAAGAATTGAATTATGACTTTTTTTTTTAGTTAAACTATTATGTAAACTGGATTTCCATAAACATTACCGGATAAAACGAGAGACTGGACATTTTCAAACAGCAGCAAACATCTGGTAAAAGTTTCTTGAAGGGCTCAAATTGACAAAACATCCTTATCTTTGGCGCTCTCCTGCGCTTTATTCTGAAACTGAAGCGTGTCGTTTCTGGCCCGCCTTCACGCATGATTGACAGTCACTCTTAGCGAATCACAGCAAGTTTAATCTTCTTTAGTCCAATCATCTTTCAGCAGGGGCGGGACCCGAGCGTTCATAAGCTTGTGTAAGACGGCAGTTGTCAACACAACATGTCTGATTGTCAAAAAAGGACAACACAAGGGAAACGACTATTTAAAAAGGTACTTGTTGTACTTTGTTGTCTTGCGAACATTTTACAAGTAAAGTAAATTCGGTGCTTCTTTGTTTTTGTAGGTTTTCTAATGATGCTAACCTGACACTTCTCATCCTGATGCTAACCTATACCGGCATCATGCGATTATTTAATAACTGCTAAGTCATATTTCCATCAGATGTTTGATTTGAGATACATAACTTTTACTAAATGGCTTTTATAATGTCAATGTACAGTGCTTTAAATTGATCGGCTCTTTGTGATTACCAAAACAACTGAACAAATTTTAACTTTAACATAGATCCAGTTCAGTGAAAACCAACTAAAACCATATGTCCTGTGCTTTTGCAGTTTTAAGCCAGATGTGTCAGCATTATCTGTTTGTCATCTTATACAGTAACAAACAACAACAACAAAAGCTGTTTGCTGGTTCATTGTGTTACAGAAGTCACATGTGTTAAAAATCTGTCTTATATTTGCTCAGGCTTGTTCACTGAAAGACACTGATCGGTGCTGGTTTTCGTCTCTAAGAATATTTCTCTTTCCTCGTAGGGATTTCTTTCATGCAGTCAACATGAAGCGCCTGTACCTCGTGGAGCCCGTTGTGGCCCTGTACGCGTTCAGCTGTTTTCTCATCTACCCTCTCGTCCAGCAGTATGTTTACAGACGGTTTTGGGTGCAGCTGACGCACACCAGCTACCCCATCTCTGACAACACCTCCAGATGTGCAGCAAGCAACAGCAGCAACCACACAAACCTGCATGAGGTTTGTTATTAACCGCTAGATAAGGATGAATGTTTTATGTGATCGAGTATAGATTTTGATCAAAATAAGCTTATAATTGTGTTTAGGAGGCAAAACACTGAAAGTAAAGCTCTTAAAAAACTTAATGTAAAGATATAGTCTATATCTTGTCACAGCATACATTATCTATAACCCTTTAAAATCATTTTATAACTCAAAAATTTTTAGGCGTTATCTTTTAATCATTCAGATGACATAACATCTCTTATGAATTCTGTTGTACAAAAAGCATACAAAGAACATATATATATATTTTTTTAATTAAGCAACAGAGTTTTGTTCAAGTTTATATAAAGTAACTAAAGGAGGAAGTGAAAAGCACTCATGTTAGTTCTCTGTTTTTAACTGGACACCTGCACAAAAGAAAACTTCTTTTTATTGTTACACTTCTCAAGAAAACCTCACATGAAACATTTTGTAACCGCTCGTTCATTACATGTAGTGTGTTACTCTCACTTGTTGAGAGTTATTTTTCTGATCCTAACAACCTCTCAGACCTGTGTATGATCCTTAAACTTATCCACCCTCTCCCCGTCTGCCTTTTTTCAGGAGGTCCAGAAGCAGGCGTCTCTTTTCTCTCTTTACTCAGAGATCCTCTCCACAGTCCCATCCCTGATCGTTACTCTCATGCTGGTGGCCTACAGCGACCGGGCAGGACGCAAGATCACCATCGTTATGCCTTTGATTGGCACGCTCATCTACACCACTGCCTTCTTGGCTGTGTCCTTCTTTGAGCTGAACGTCTACTTGTTGATCGGCTCCACGCTTCTCAGCTCTCTTTTCGGCGGCTTGGGCACGTTTCTCGGAGGCTGTTTCGCCTACATAGCTGACTTGTGCAAGGACGATCGTCAGAAGACGCTACGCATGGCAGGGGTGGACATGATGATCGGCCTCTTGTCCGGGGTGGCGTCCATATCCACGGGTTATTTCCTGAGAGCTGCAGGCTTTAACTGGCCGTTCCTAACTTCTGCACTCATTCAGTGTCTGATCTTGTTCTACGCCGTTTTTATCTTAGAGGAAACCGTGACGAAGGCTCCCGTTGATCCAAACGGGTCTCCCCGGCTCGCTGCCATAAAACAAATATTCTCCTCGATCTACCGGATCTTTGCGGGGAAAAGCTTTAAAACCGTTTTAGCCCTGCTGATGACCATCTTCACCAGCTTCTCCTTCACTTATATCGGAGGCATCTCCATGATGACGCTGTATGAGCTCAACGAGCCACTTTGCTGGTCTGAGATTCTGATCGGATACGGCTCGGCGCTGTCCACCACGGTGTTCGTGGTCAGTTTCCTCGGAGTGTCGGTGCTTACATACTGCGGCGTTCCACAGCTGATCATTGTCCTGCTGGGGATCCTGTCGGTCATGTCGGGCATGATCCTCGTGGCGTTCGCTAAGACCACAGTACTGATGTTTATAGGTGAGGAACAAAGTATCCACAACAGCTCCTGCTCTGCTCAGTTTGAATACAGAACCACAATTTTTATTTAGAGTAAAAAAAAAAAAAACATGTACAGCAGAGTTTATTTGAAGTTGATGATTGGCTTTTGATTTGCTTTAAGTTCAAGTTTAAGTCAACTTTATTGTTGTTACCATCACATGTGTTACATGAGGTGGAACACACAGTACAGAGGGTCCCAGTTACACCCAACAATAGCAAATTATAAATTATAAAAATAAACCATAAATAAGAATCTAAGATATAAACTAAGATATACACTAAACAAACACCAAATGGTATGCTAAAAGATCTACGTTAGATATACGCTAAACACTAATAATGTAAAACAATACAGCGTAACAACAGCAGCCCGAACATGAGTCTGTAGTGAGCAGATGGGTACAAATGAATACAGCAGCATGAGATAATCAGCAACATGGATAATCAGCAGCATGGATAATCATTACATTACAGTTTGACTTAGCTGCCATCCATCCATCCATCCATCCATCCATCCATCCATCCATCACGGCCAGAGCTGCTAGCTTTCCAGCGTTCCTCCGCTTGCACCAGCTGAGTAAAGCGAGCGTGCAAGAGAGGACTCGCTGTTGCATTTCTTAGAAATTTAAAGCGTCAGTCAAAAATTGTATTATGAATGTAGAAAAAAAACAATATATAAGTCACTTCTGTGTATAAGTCGCAGGACTGACAAATCTATGCAAAAAAACTTCGACTTAAACGCCGGAAAGTACGGCAGACCCATTCAGTGATATTGCGCTTTATAATCCGGTGCGCCGTATGGTGCGAAAAATACGGTTCTTATAAATTCTTATCTCTGTCTTTTTTTTTTTTTTTTTTCTAGGAACCTATTACAAAAATGTGCTCAATATTGTTAAACATCACGTTTATTAAATTACTATTTATCACATGAAGTCTGCTCTTGGACAGTGTATAGTTTCAGGATTCTGTGTTTTGCAGTGAGGATACCGATGCTTCTGTGCATCATGCCTTTTGCTGTTCTGCGCTCCATGATGTCCAGGATCGTCTCCAAGTCCGAGCAGGGTGAGAGTGGCTTTTAGTGCTCTCCGTGAACCGTACAACCGTCTCTGTTTGTAGAGTCAGAGTCCAGTGAAGCGGAGTAAAAGCTTCAGTTTGCATTTGAAAAGAAAACACTCCAAGTTTCTGTTTGGTTTAGCCAAAAGTATCATGTACAGGCCACTTCCTAAGCACTTTCTGATTCTTTTTTTATTTGCAGGAGCCCTGTTTGCTTATCTGTCCTTTCTAGAGAACTTCACAAACAACGTGTCAAATGCAGTCTTCAACAGTATCTATTTCGCCACAGTGGCCTGGTACCCCGGCTTTGTCTTCATGTTGTCTGCAGGACTCTGTGTCATTCCTTTATCTGCTCTTGTGTAAGTTAATTTGTTTTTTATTATATTGAGCATGAAATAGAAACTCTGCTGGAGGTCCTTCGTTATTCTTGTCCACGTAGTTTAAAGCATGTTGCAAACAGCAATCATTTTCAAACTACATTTAGCCCAAACAGTCAAATAATGGCCTAGCTGTTACATTTTTGTGAAAAGGATTTTGCTCGTGATGTGTTTGATTAGTGTTGTTTGTTCAGTCTGCAATAAGAGCCACAAAAGGTTCTGATAGGATATGGGTTCATAGCTGCATTCTTTAAAAGGGGTTGGATTATAAGTTATTTATTATTTTGCTTGGTCATTGATCATCGGTCTTGCTGTGTAAAAGAGAAATGTTTTCTTGACTTCAGCCCTCAAAAAAGAGGAAGACACAGTTCCTTTTTTTTTTTTTTTTTAATGTCTTATTTCCCAAGTAATAAACCCCATTTCTATAAAGGCTCCCTCTGAAAAAAACTTGTATCTGTAACTTCTTTATCCCGTTGGACAGTAAAGGCAATAAAATAATGAAGAGTTCAACTTGATTGTGCTGTTTAGAAAACTCAAAGCTACAATTTCTTGCCTGTTTAAATCAAAAATTGTCAATATTCCTAGAAATTAATTTAGTAAATTATATCTGTGGCTTATATATTTTTTTATTTAACATTAATGCTTTGTCAAATCCTGTGTTGCTGACGGAGTTCTTACATGACTTTTGCTCCACTGAGGAGACCACGTTGTTCTGCTGAGTCAGCCTGGGAGGTGAAGTGTGAAACCTGAACCTCCTGAAACGAGTCCTTGCCTCCATCACACAGCAGTTTAGTTAGAGGACAACAAAAGCCCCGCAACATTTTAATCCGGCTGTTTTACTTGCCAATTGTTCATGCCGATTACCAAAACATTCAAATTTTGATCACTTTAAAATAGTCAACGTGCTCTTAGATGTTAATAATATATATATATTTTTGAAGCGGGGTTCTGTGGAAAGTTCATGAACAGTTAATATCTTACCTGTTCCAGATATCTCATAATGCTCTCAGTTCTGATCAGATTGGAGCTAAGATTAAAGTGGGATTACTGCCATCCTAAAACAGCTCCATTCTCAAAAATGTTCTGACTGTTCATGCGAGCCCTACATTTTGAACCTTCTTTTCATTTTAGTGGAATATTATGGTTCTTTGCAACCACAAATACCAGCAGCAGCCAGCTATAACAGTTTCACTGCAGCCAGCACTTAACCAGGATTATATTAATATTTCTGCTGGAATTATGTAATATGAAACTGATGGCAGTAAAGATTTAGAAAATATTAGTATACTAAGACTAATATTAGGTGAATTGCTTTGATTTGAGGACGAGATATTATAAGACATCAACGTATTGCTCTTGATTCCAGTTAAACAAGTTGTTAGCTCATCAATCTAGTCCAAATTGACTGTATTATTTGTTCAAAGAGTTATTTACATTAGCTAAGATATGGTTTTTGGACTTTCCACAGAAACGTTCTGCAAATGATATGAACTAATATAACTCGAGAGCTTTAACTGTTGAGTCATGCTGTTTGTGCAATAATGCAGAAAGACTACACAACACTGCTAATGTCCTCACCAGTCACTTTATTAAGTACACAATGGTTTGTTAGCACAGCGAGTCAGACAATCACATGGCAGCACCCCGATGCCTTTAAGCACGGGGACGGAGTGAAGACAACTTTCTGAAGTTCGAAGCATGCGTCAGAAGATGGGGGGAAGAAAGAGGATTTGAATGTGGTGTTGGTGCCAGACTGGCTGGTCCGATTATGTCAGAAATTGATCTTCTGGGATTTGTACTCACAACCACTCTAGAGTTCAATTGTCCAGAAAAGAGAAAATATTCAGTGAGCTGCATTTGTGGGGATACATTTGGGATGTCTGTGGCTGAGTGTTATAGAGAGGTCACCCTCCAATAAGAGTTGGGGGTTCGATTCCAGCAGCAGTCACATGTTGAAGTGTCCCTGGGCAAGACACTGAACCCCTCATTGCCTCCTATGTGTGTCCCATCAGTGTATGAATGTGATCTAAACTACTGATTAGTCTGTACAGATTCAGATTAGCTTTGTAGAGATGTAGTAGAGTGTATGTGTGTGTGGAGGTAAATGAGGTCACAGGTTGTGTTGTAAAGAGCTTTCCTGGTTGGAAACCTCATAAAGTGACAGCTGAGTTTATTTCCCTCATTTTACTGGAATTAGGAACTTGTTTTTTTGTGTTTTTATTGATAAAACCTCCTGGATGAAAACATGTTCAACCACAGAATTGAAGTCCAGTTGTTTAGTTTTTATTTATTTATTTTTTTTAATTTTGCTTATTCCTTTTTCTTTCTTTTTTTTAAATTTCAGGGCTGTTGCGCTGATCGGAGTGGATGTTTCCAGCGTCGTGGAAAGGCCAGAACCTTTTGACCCAGAACACGAGATTCTGATTGAGGACGAGAATGAAAACAGTGCTCTTATTAGCTGAAGAATAATGGACTACAAATACCAGCACCTTGTTCATTTTTCGACTTTTTAAGATTCTGTGACTTTTTTGTTTTCAGCTTTGTGACCAAAGTTCTCAATTTATTTTCAATACATATATTTTTATAACTGTGTTGTTTTGAGCAAAGTGGTTTTAATATAAAGATGCTTTATTGCAGGAACATTGTTGGACAATTATGCAGTTTGCATTCCTCAAAATACCTTTTATTGTTAACTTAAGACAAGAATCTTAGTAAAGACAAAATGTTACATAAAGGGAAGTTTGGTCTTTATCAGGGAAATATGTGTGGATTTATTGAACACTGAACCCTGCAGCACTGAACTGTGCCAGTGTTTTGTTAGTTTTTAACTTTTTCTCTATGCTTTTTTAAATCTTGTTGTCATGCATTCAGAATCTTTTCTTTTTGAAGATTGTTACATCTTTCACGAATTTCACTATTTATGTTTTGCTGCTTTGGCCTCAACTCAATCGCTCCACAAATATTTAGCACTCAAATGTTAGGAGTTGGGACAACTGCAGTGTTTGGGGTGAGGAAATCTTGTTAAATTATTTATAACAGAAAAGGGTTTAAATATTTTATTTTATTTTTGTATAATCTGAATATTCATTCAAAAACATTTGTGTGAAAAATCACTTTTTGATCAGTCTATGTTCGAATATGAGAAAAATATATATTTAAAAAACGTCTTTATTCACAATTCTACGGTACAATTCACTTACAATGTTTATGTTTGGAAGAGAAGATTGTATTTTGTTACATCATTGTTACAGTAAATTTAGCCTGTTTGTATACAATCAATTTCCTCAGTCTACATTTTAACAGACCAGAGATTTATGGGGTGTCAAAAGTTAAAATGAACAAATAAATTATGTTTGCAGAAAATCAAGTATTTTTGCTTGGAGGCTCTTATTTATGGAAAACAGATACAACAGTTAGCATCTCTGCATCCATCCATTTATTTATGCAAATCTTCTGGATATGACAGCAAAGATTAATCGATAACAAAATGTCAGTAATTTATTTGAATAATAAAAATAAGAAGCAGGTTTAAAAAAAAATCTAATGGATGGGTGTCACTTTTCAATTTGGCACAGAACTGCATGGTTGTTAACAGAAAGCCAATCAAATTCACAGGCAAAATTACTTTAGTCCAGTTTACTTTAGCCAATAGAATATACTTTTTTTTTTCCATCTGTGTGAAACTAAATGACATGCATGGTTTTTACCTACTGCAGTTGACTGTGGGTAAATGTGAGTGCATGCAATTTAAGCAATAAACTAGAACACATAGCTCCCTCAAATGATAGGGGTAGATGGTTTACAGACCGTGGCCATCTTGGATTTTGACGTAGCAATTCAAACTTCAACAGTGACCTTTCTATGCATAGATGCAGCTGCACACCAAAATGAAAGTCAGAACATTGCTTATTTTTAAAGTTATCCAGCTCACAAGGTTTACATATCAACACACATAGCCATCTTGGATTTTGACATGGCAACCCAATTTTTGAAAGAAACCTTTCTTACACCTACAGTAAGTGCAGCCATGTTTTGAGCTTGATAACTTGAAAAATAAGTGTTACTAACTTCCATTTTAGCGTGTGGCTACATGTAGGTAGAAGAAAGATTCTTTGTAAAAACTGGGTTGCCATGTCAAAATCCAAGATGGCTGCTGCCATTAATGTATGTATAGTAACTTTGTGAGCTGATAACTTGAAAAATATGCAACGTGCTGACTTCCATTTTAGTATGTTTCTGTATAAGAAAGGTCACCATCAACAATTGGGTTGCCATATTAAAATCCAATGATCCTATGGTGGCCAGGTCACCATTGGCCACCCCCTAGCTCTGCCAGTAGTGGAGAAACTTGCTCCAAGAAAAAAATAAAAAGGGTGGGGGTGGGGGGACCACAAAATGTAATTCCTACCCACTTGAATATCATTAAGGTTTACTTGTTGCATTTCCTGTTCAATTCCAGACCAGAAAAAACACTCATATCAGAAACTACAAACATTCACTATTGAAATCTCTCATTTACAGGGGACATTGGTATACTGCTTGTTTCAGATGGCAAAGTCTTCTAAACCAGCAAAAAAAAAAAGAAAAAAAAAAAGCTTTAATGCATTTGAGAATAACTGCCCATTTTAGGGAGTCAAATTAGTTTTGTTTTTTTAATTACCTTGTCTAGAAGATTTTATCAACAAATGCATTTGCGCTGTTTGAAGAAGTGAGTAACTTGATGTTTGTTACCATCCACGTTTGTGCATAATCCATCCAAGAAGCACCTCATTTAGACTCACATAGGAAGTACTCTTACACAGACTATGCCTAAAGTACTGGATGTCCAGGATGTACCCAGTCTTTTACCCATGACTGCTGAGAGGAGTCCTAACAGATACAGAAAATAGATGAATCATTTTTTTATTCATGAATTCTGAGAAACTGCACCCAGTGGTGGAAAAAATCCTACTTTGGTGGGAATCGTGAGTTACATTAGACCAGTAACCTGAAAGTTTTAAAGATTGACTCCTGCTGGGTCACACATTTTAGTGTTGGTGTTATTTATAAACTCGCCACTAGGTGTCAGTGTTCGCTCATGCTCACGGTACAGACACATTTAACCTTTTTTTTTTTTTTATCTACCTGGATGATTGAGCTTGCCTTTTTTTTACAGACACATTTTCCATTCATCCAATATCTTTTACCTGCTTCTTTCTTTCATCCAGCAGTGACTGTGCGGGGGTGTGGGGGGTGGCCTACTCCTGCAAAACCATGAATGAGATTTGTGTGTGTGTGCATTTGTTTTTCGAATTAAAAATGTGATTTAAAAACATCTTGCAAGTTTTACTGTTGATAAATGAGCTCTCCTGGCATTAAAACTATCCATCCAATTACACAGCTGCTTGCTTTCTGCTCAGCTTGGCTTATGTGGAAACAAAGTGGTGCAGTGCAACCACAGTAGATTAATAATGTGGTGAAGATGCAATATAACCACTTTACATTAGGCTGCGCTAAATATTCCACTTTAAATCAGATTACAAGTACACATAATGTACAACAAAACATCAGTCATCAGCTCAGTTTTGAACTGGACCTGCTTTTCATGAGAGGCAAACCTGTTGAGAGAAGCGACTTCAGCTGGAGTATGAGATTATCTTTCTAAGGATGCCAGCAGATTGTGTTGAATCTTCACTTCGTCACAGTTTCCCATCCTGAGCAAGCACAAAGGCAACGGAAAGGAAAAAGTCCTTTTTAACAGGAAGAAACCTCCAGCAGAACCAGGCTCAGGACAAGCGACCATCTGCTTTGACCAGTTGGGCTGAGAGGAACAGGAAGGAGAAACAGACACAGAATGGCAGGTCCAGGTGTATTTTCTATTGGAGGAAAGACAAAAACACAAGTTAGGAATAGAAATGATTACAAATGCAAACAGATAGAATAGAGCAAGTAAAGACAGCAGCAGAGTGAGGACATGAGATCAATTTGTCCTCCAGCAGGCTAAGCCTATAGCAGCATAACTAAGGGATAGCTCAGGAAACCCAAGCCAACCCTAACTAAAGGATTTATAAAAACAGAAAAGAAAAAGAAAAGACTTACTGTGTCAGCCTCACAGACAGAAACTGGAACTTGGTTCCACAAGAGAGGAGCCTGATAACCGAAAGATCTTCCTCCCATTCTGCTTTTGGAAACTCTAGGAACCACAAGTAAACCTGCAGTCTGAGAGTGAAGTGATCTGTTAGGAAATATGGAACAATAAGATCTGTAATATACGATGGAGCTAGGTTGTTGAGGGCTTTGTAGGTTAGAAGTAAGATTTTGAGTTCACTTCTGAATTTGACAGGGAGCCAGTGGAGAGAAGCTAAAACTGGAGAGACAGGATCTCTCCTACTAACTCTCATTAAAACTCTGGCAACAGCAGTGAAACACACTCAGAGTGTGTTGGAGGTTAATCAGTCTCAGGTATCACTGCATCAAATTTTAGTTCAGTATTTCTAAAATCAACTGAGTTATAGTCATTTTTATGTTTGTTAAGACAAATTAGGTGTGGCATCCATCTTGAATTGAACCGATTCAAAAATCCATCAGGTGTAACTATATACCAAGCAATAGATTTGTGTAATTTTCATTAAAATGTGTCCAGTGGTTTATACGATTGTTAAACAAACTGGGTTGTCTCCAGCAGTTAATGCCAAAGTCTTTTGCACATTTCTAAGTGCTGTAGATAAATCCCGGGCACTGCCACACCAAAATTTAGCTTAAAATCTGTAGAACTGACTGACATAGCCTTTTTTTCTATTTTGTAAGGTCATTTAGTTCTGACGTTTATCTTAAATTGGAGTGACAACAAAAATGAATCAGTTGTATCCGTTGATTACTTCCTGAAACTTTCTTTAAAATCCATCCAGGTGTTCAAGAGATATGTTGCTAACAGACAGACAATTAGCGAGTAATTGAAACATTACTTGTGAAAGTTGAATAAAACATATCTCTGAAGGCTATGTGCAGTTTGAACCAGCTCAATTCATGCAAACTCCAAAAACATCTGATTGCAATGTGTAATTATGACTTTGATTTTCATCTTCCAGTCTTAGGTCTGCGACAACAGACTGACACAAACCTGAATTAAGCTCATCCCTGGAAGTCATATGGATCTTATATGAGGCTTGGTTCTAACTGTGGTTTCTAGTTAAATCAGAGATTTATGTGGTGAGCAGTGATGATAGTTTGTAGGGGTTTTCCCAGGGGTAAGGACCTTTGTGGGGGGACACAGTTGGGGTGGCTCATGTGTGTCTGGTGCACAACTGGGTCAAAGAGGATTAAAGAGGAGCTTGAAAAAATATGGTTTCTACAGGAGGCAGGGGGATTGAGGATCTTTGGTTTTTGGTTTCCAAACACAGCTGAATCAGCAGTATAATCATCCGCACCACATCACATCACATCACCATTAAATAGCCCATTCTCTTCTGATGATCGAGATAGATTCAAACAGGCCTCTCTTTATC